TTTTTTGTACGGCGTACCCACGCCGTGAAGTTTTTTATAGTAACGAATTATTTGGCAATACCCAAGTTGGACAATATTGAGGAATTTGCAAATATTATCAAGAGTTAATCAAGAATTATTTAAAAACTCCGGCAAAAGTTGGGCAAGTATTCTAATTGAGGTTAACAAAACTGCATGGATCTGATTCTGAATCCACTGTCTAGTTTGACAAGCAGATCGACCAGCTAGGAATAGAATATCCAACGTATGCTAAGGTGATGTACTCTTTTTAATACTATTTAACATCGAAGACTTCTTGAAGTTCATCAAACTCTGGGATGATTCAACTATCAAATTGTTTTATTATTAATTTTTTTAAATATTTCTGTATTTTATAATTCTGCAGTACTCAATCCATCAGATTGTTTTACTATTTAACTTGTTAAACATTATTGATTCTCTAAGTATCGTTTAAACTTTTGTTTTAAGTACACAATCCTACTTGCGTCTATATCCCAAACCTATTCCCTGTCAAATGCGTTCCGGAGTTTGTCACTGTCAAGTGTTTCTTTAACAAATTTCAAAGTAAAAAATTATGCAGGTACACTGCATTGTGCCATACCAAACCAACCCAAACTTAACAACCCAACCCAACCGACCCCGCCCCATTGAGCAATAGAGGTATAATATATCTAAGGGCAGGCTGGATTGTGACAATGGGGCGGGAGGGGCCCAATGGGGCGGGGTCGGTTGGGTTGGGTTGTTAAGTTTGGGTTAGTTTGGTATGGCACAATGCAGTGTACCTGCATAACCAAAATGACAGGGAATAGGTTTGGGATATAGACGCAAGTCACAATCCTTCGGATTGTTTTACTATTTAATTGTTATGGACATGAATATCATGCCAACTTATTGTATTTAGTATTTAACTTTTAGTGATAAATAATACATTTCCTTATTTGTTACAATTGAATGCTTAGAGTTTCTAAAATAGATAGTTTTATAACTGGGGAAAAGGAGTTTTATTTTTTTTGTCAATTTATCTTTCAGAGTATAATATAGTTAAATATTTTTAATTCTTTATTTACTGTAGTTAGCCAAAGAAAGAACACCCAATAATTTTCTCATTTTGTCTTGGTCTGAGCTAAAAGGTGCGTGTAATGTGTCATTTTAAAGATTTAAGTTAAGTTATTCCAACAACTAAATCGAAATTTACCAACTAGTAGAGCACGTTACATTGTACTATGTTTTGTATTATTATAATTTAAACAATTTGTGGTAATACATTAATCCATTTATATGAGCCATTTAAAATAAAATATTTGAATAAACGTTCTTTTAAAGTTCTTATAACGCGTTTAGCGATTGCAGCCTTTTTACAACTAAATGTCTTAAAGTGATTTATTTTATATTTAGACATAAGTTCTTTAAATTTGCTATTGGATTGGATTGGATTGGATTTGGATTTGTTGGGTGGAGGGTAGCCACATTGTGGCTACATGCACTTAGGCCACAGTTGGCCCTTTGTACTGCCCCCGAGATCCATTTCCCCATTTGTGTTTGCTCAAATTTTTTAATCCAGCCATCCGAGTTTCCGAAAGAAATCTAGAAAGACGGCTGGAGAGATGGAGCTAATGTTGGTTGCATCAACCCATTCTTCTCCTAAAGTGGATTTTCTGAATTCGAGAAGAGCAGGACATTCACAAATAATGTGTATTACATTCTCTTCGCCCCAGTTACAGGCTCTGCAAAGAGGACTGTCTACTTTTCTTATCGTATGAAGATGTTTGTTTAGTCTACAGTGTCCCGTTATAATTCCGACAAGGTCGGAGAGGTTTTGACGAGATAGCTGTAGACTGTACCTGGCCAGCTTGTCAGATGGATTAGTGATAATATTTTTGGTCTGACGACATGAGCTTAGATTAACCCATCTTCTTAGTTGTTTTTCATGGGTTAGTTTTTTTTATCTGGACTTTTAAGGTTGAGTTCGTAAGTGGCAGGACAGGTTCAGGGCCCACTGGCAGCTTTTCCGATCCCTGTCTTGCCAGTTCATCAGCCTTTTCATTTCCTTCATTACCATTATGTCCTTTAACCCATACTAGTTCTAGGACATTATTAATCGTTATCAGCTTCAAAGCAGCAATGCATTCCGCTACCAGTCCCGAGTCAACTATATTGTGACTCAAGAGTTTCCCATCATCTTTAAATCTTTTCTTAAACTTTTTCTCTAAATCCTTAAATTTTTTTCTCAGAATTTCGACTTTATTGTTGTTCAGTACAATATCACTAAAGGTGGTGTTAAATTTATAATTTAAATCTTTTTCTAAATATGCAAATTTTCATACACACAGTTTCGCGTTAGCTGTTGTAATGTCGTCTAGCTATTTTTTTAACCCTTATGTGCATAGAGAATAAATATACTGATACCGCACAGATAGGTACAATTGTACCTTATACTAGAAAACATGTTTATTTTGGTTTAAATTCAACGCATTAAAATATTTTAGTATTGATTTGGTTTTATAAAGTGTTTGAAGACATGGAGAGCCAAAGGGAATTATGTCGTTATCACATAGCCGAAGCACTTTTTATCAAGATTTAGGACGCAGCCTCGCAATGGGTAATATTGAAAAACGCTCGCAAATGCCAAATGTTGTAAAAATATTTTCTACCAAAATTCACTGGAATCGATTATGAGGCATCCACTGGCACCATCATGGTAATCATTTGCTACGGAAAATAAACCTCAAGAATCTAAAGGCCCGAAACCAGTAGTGGGATCATGCTATATTTGCCGAAACATAAATAAAAAGCAAAGAAAAACCAGAAAATGTTGCAACGTTTGCAAAATCCCAATATGTGATGAACATGCTCAAACCATCACAAAATGTTTCACTTCAGAACTGAATATATATATATATATATATATATAAATACATATATATGTATATATATTTGTGAATTTATTGTTGTTTTTATTTGCCCCCCCTATTAATTTTCAACTTAAACACATATAGGTACGAATGTACCTATCCGTGCTTAAATGGGATAATAAGTTTGGGATTAAAATAAAAAATTTCCACGTAAGGTAAACGTTATAATTTTTACATAAAAGGCATTATCTTTCCTTATTTAAAGATGTCATAAAACATGAATTATTTTTAAATTAAATTAAATAAGTTACTGCATAACAAAAATTAAAAAGTTACACCTGTACCTTTCCGTGCACATAAGGGTTAAATCCTTTATACATTGATCATTTTTAAAATCTAGAATATCTTGTTCGAATTTTTGAATCGCTTTTAATGTATGTTCTTTAAATTTTTTAACCGATTTTATTGTCTTGTGAAAATGTTATAATATTGAATTCGTATTAAAATGTCATTGTAAGAATTGACCAAACTTGTTAAGAGGCATTTTTTAAATAAGCCCTTTAATTATAAATATGGGTTAATATATAACATCAGCTTCTTTTAGTTCGTTTAATATCGGGATAATTTCATTATCATTTGATGTATTGCCAGCATTTTTGTAGGCTACTAATAACTTTAATCTTTCAACCAACTCGTTTACATCATCCCAGTAAATATATTCAATAGAACTATTATTGTATGTTAAAGTGTTACATGAATTACGTTTGCGATAGCCGGTTCCACTGACAAAATTTTGCATCAATGCTTTTATTATGTAACGATATTTATCTGATTTGCTTCCTCTTAGCGATCCAGTTGATTCAAAATTTTGGATATGTACATTTGTTAATTGTATTATTTCTTTATACTTTTCTTTATCTTCTGAAGAATATCCTAATGATTTCTTTTTAAATACTAATTCATATAGTTTCTTTAAACGATTTGTTTTCAACTGTAAAATAATCATTACTTCTATTAAATTCTATAACACTTTTCCCAATCAACCATTTTTTAATTTTAGGATTGTAAGTTACTCCATATCTTGTATCAAACTCTTTTTTATCATTCAAAAGTCCTAAATATTGTTGGGATAATCCATGATAATCATCTAAAAATGTATTAGGTACTTGCAATGAAGAATTTATTTTATCATCATCATCATGATCATCATGTTGATCATCAATATAATCATCATGATCATTAATATAATCATCATGATCATTATGATAATCATCATGATTATCTTTATGTTTATTAGTTTTAACTTTTTCTTTTTTTTTATTAAAATATCATAATTTTCTAATTTGTGTTTTATAAATTGTTTCATTGATAAAATAAATTATTTAACTCCTCATCTTCTTCAGATTTTCCCAATTTAAGAGCCAAATATTTTTTTCTGATATTTTTAGAAAGCTCATTAATCTTTTTTATTACCTTAATGGTTGATACTGACATGATTACTAATGACGTTAAATGTAGTTGTTATATAGTAACGTTATATATTTATCAAACCCCTTTCGATATCTTCCATTGTTTAAACGAAAATCTTTAATGATTACCAAACAACCATATTCATCATTCCAACATTCTGAGCATGTTTTCTTGAACTGATCATAAGACATGTCAGGTGACAGCAACATGTTATTTAGGGAAATTATTTAACATCTCGTTAGTTTCTCCTAAATAAAATTATACAAACGTGCAGTCACATGTATCGGGACCGCAAGTTGCTTCCGAGTCAGACCAGACACACGTTTCAAAATGTTTACCAAATTTATTTTTTACAACATTAACATTAAGGCGTTCTTCCAAATATTTTTTTTGATTAGTCCATTTTTTCCCTTTTCATAAAGTCTTTATATAATTATTATCGAGTTGGATATTCATGCTGAAATTTTGACTTTTTGTCATATTTTTTAAAAATTTATAAATATTTCGGATGGCCCTTCTAATTTCCCTTTCGCTGCATACAACCATAACTGCTAAATAATTAATAACGAATATTTCGTTAAAATGAGCATTTATAATTAACGATGTTCTACGTGAGACAGAAGACTAAATTTCTTAGGCGTCACGTGATTATACAAAATAAATAATAATATTTAATTGATGAAGAATATTTTATCGCTTGAGGTCACAAATCCTTATATTGAAAGTCAAGACATGCTTATCTACAGCTCATTGCCCGCTAAACTAGACCTCTCAGCCAATCACAAAAGGTTTGTAAAAAAATAATTTTATTTTATTTTTTTAAATATTCTATTATACTTTACATTATACATTATATTTAGGAACAATTTTTTTTATGGTTCTAGCGTACGTCGAAGCAAACCTACGGTGGTCCTCAAAAACATTCCGCCATAGATCTATGGATAAAGCAGCAAAAGCCTTATATATAATTTTATTTTTTCCTTTAGTCCTTAAAAAAATTTTGTTTTCTTTGCGATAAAGATTTCTTTCTACGGTTGAAAGCCTTGAAGCCACTTGTGTAAAATACTAGCGTTTGTAGTGCTACACTGACCTGATTTAAAATGATTCATACACGTCGGTTTTTGGGTTTTAAACACTGGAAAATCCCACAAGTTCAATTCTTCAATGTTTATAATTTTTAAATTTGGTTATGACAGCTTGCAAACTGTTTTTAAATATTTATAGGTTTGTTTTCCATTTACATAAATAGTATCATATTCATGCAATAATTCCATTTCCATTTCGGATAAAAAAGCCAAGCATTCTCGAAAAATAAATTAAAGCCCTGAATACTTGCACGCAACTTTCATGTTGTAAAACTAATTATCCAAGACATACGAGATACGTAGATATAATATGAACAATTATGATAAAGTGCGCACTATCTCACTGAGGGTTAGATGCTTTATGATAATAATGCAATATGCCTTAGTTTTATCAGAAAAACCTTCTCTTGCTTCTATATCAACTTTAATATCAACTGCACTAGATTTTAGCGACTGATTTCTTTGAGAAAAATCAAAAGAGTGTCGTTTTTAAATTTTAAATAACTAAGTAAAGGGTGTTTCGAACTCGCAAAATCATTTTTAAAACTTAGATAAAATTGAGTATAATTGTATAATGGGCTTCAGAATTTTTTTTTCAAAATCAAGGATCATGCACTCTATGGAATAATATTCTCCATTTAAAATAACCCGTATATCTGATATACATACCAATGTTATCGAAATATGATGGATCTTTGGTATTATCACTCCTTCTATCGGTTTGAAAGGCTAGAATAATGTAGCGGGGGCTTTCTAGCGCAGTACACGTTTTAACAGACCATATTTACTTGATAGCATCTTTAGTTAGCTACGGGAGTTCGTGTGATTCCCATTTTCGAAATGCTATTACTATAGGTTTGTCTAATTGTATCGACTTCAGCAAATTAAGCTTTAATATGTCATTAGGCATAATAACTTGTACTCTTAATGATACATTTTCAATTTTCAATTCTGTTTTTGTACTGCCTACGGGGTTACCATTTTTTTCTTTTATAATTATGCAATCATTATCACGTCCGGCTCTTACAAAACGCAAAGTCTGTTTACCAAATTGTGCCAACTTATAATTATTAAATATCCCAAATAAATGGTGTAATGGTATGCGCATATTAAAAGTCGAATTATTCAATAGGGGAGAGGAGGGAAAATTCTACCCAGCAATATCTAAATGGTTTGAATCATCGCTGCTATAAGTTAGATATCCCTTTATTGTGCTGACAATGCCTGGATCGCGTACATCAATTTCTTTCCCATTTAATTTATAAGAAATTCGATCAAACAAAAATGCTCCAAAATTATTTGCAAGCGATACATCACCATCGCCAGCCGTTTTTGTCAGTTTACCTTCAATTATTATTACAGCATCATGCATAAGTAACCAGGAATCTCTTTGATTTATTGAAATTTCTATAACATCAATTATTATTAAAATAATTGACATATGGATAATACGTCGAGTTTCGATTTTTTGAATTGTTTCATCAAACTGTTTTTGATAAATGTCGAAAGTTCGGTTTACGACATTATATCCCAGCGATTGTAAAAAGAGACTATTTAAGCGGGTTAAAGTGTTTGAACCTGGCAAACGCTTGCTGTTAACTGAATTTAGATTGTTTATACCAGTGTTTTTATTACAATAATTGTTAAATACCAAACCCATTATGTTAATCTTTTTAACTCCAAACGAATGACAATTTCTCCTCCGCAAAAATTAACTCGCTTAAAATCCTGATTAAAAATTGTTAAAGTAATATTGGATATTTCTTGTTTATTTATTACTGGTAAATAAATAAGATTCTTGGGAATTTCATTGATTGTATAACCAAGTTCAACGTCTACGAAAAATTCGTAAATAGTGTGTGTTGGTAGATGATTATAAAAAGACCCTGTCGGTATATGAATGGTTCGCATCTTATAATATTAACAGGTTGATCTGATTTGTGTTTTTTGCCTGCTGTCTAGGTACGATTTAAAAACCCTAAAATTCTGGCAATACTATCTGCAGGCGTAAAGTCCACCTAGTATTTTTCGCACTTTATTGTATTAAATTAAAAATTTATTATAATCTTTTTTTTTGACAGTTGGAGCAAGAATTTTCTGTCTTAAATAGGTTTCTATATCTAATATTTCGTAGGTGCCAGTTGGTATTGTTATATTTTCCTGAATCGCGATAATAAAATTTGTTTTCTCCTAGCTCGATGTTTGGGATGCTATTGTAGGAATAAAAGCGAAGTCAAACTCTGAATTAAGTTGTATCGGATTTGCAAAATTAATAGATAAAACGTGATTGTTACTTTTTAATGTAAATATTTGCGACATTATCTGCAAACCACAACTAATGATATACTACACAATGTGTAGTATATCATTAGTTGTAGTACACATATTATTACTAATTCTTACTAGTATCTATTTTATTAAATAAAACCACAGTATTTTCTTTTATTTCATTTATTTTTATAAAGAAACTGTAAGCATAAATGTCCACAATTAAATTGATTGAATTTTTGAAATCATTCATTATTATAATTAATTTTAGCATTTTTCCCTAAATAATTTACAAGTTCAATGGTTTAAGACCACCAAAACTATCAAAATAAATAACATAGTTGTTTCTTTTAATATAAGCCACCCAATGCGTACCCAAATTTTTTGTTAAATCTAATTTTAGGATTGCTGATTCATTTTTATGAGGAGCATTTGGTAGAGCGTCATGCATAAAAACGTCTTTGAAATATGGTATTTTAAGCTTTTGTGCATATTTTACTAATTCTGAATCATATTTTATTTATTTTTTTATTTTATTTTTTATTTTATTATTTTTAATGTTCTTTCAACAGGCACCAGGCCCAATTACAGAAGTACACAATGACAAACACAAATAAACAACCATACTCCTGGTGGGATTCGAACCCACGACCTCTCGGCTTCTAGTCCGCAGTGCTAACTACTACGCCACCGAGAGCTCTATTAGGTATTATGTATGTTTTTTAAAAAACTTGAGGTTTTTTCTTAAGTAAAGTCCTGAACCTTGTCTACCTATTTCCTCCATAGTTTGTTCTTCTTCCTTTTTCTTCGCATTTTTGCGTCTATTATCGTTTTTGCAATAGCGCTAGCACCCCCAGTAAGTGAGCCTATGGCTCCTGGGGCCATTATTGGTAAAAGAGGTAGAAATCCTCCCTGTTTGGATTCAAATGGAATTATTCTGGGTACTCTAATATTTTTACGACCTCCTGCTTTCTTTATGGCTGCTCGAGCTACTCAAAGGGCTTGTACAGTAGATTTTTTTAAAGAATGTTTGTTTGATAAGTACATCCAAATCTCGAACATATTTTTTAATTTTATCAACTACTCCCCGTTTAAATGAGACTGGTTGACAACGTTTTTTTTTAACCCATACCAAGTTTTCTTTTAACGTTCATCCCGGTTGTTACTAACCAAGCAGCTACTTTTTCACCAAATTTTGAGTCTTTAGATTTCCCAAGCTTTATTTTCCAAAACCCAATCTGCTTTGTGTCTGTCCTCCAAACTTTTATTTTTCGAATAAGTAATGTCTTGCTCTTCACATGCAGCGTCCAATGGATCTATACCTAAATCACCCCTTTGAAGTATTTTCTCTACTTTAGTTCCCAGTCCACACCATTGGTAAGAGGGTAAATGAAGCTCAAAGGGTAGGTTATTAATGGTAGAATTTAATAAGCCAGCACCGTTATGCTTAAAAGCCAACATTTATAAGCATTTTTTATAATACTTAAATGTTAAAAGGGAATTATTTTATTTTTTATTTAATAGCTAAAATGTTTAGAAAGGGTACTTAATATATTTTTTAGCTGATTTAAAATGATTTCATTTGAGCAATTTATTTCAAATAAACTCCAATCGAAAGTTCCTGCTCTTATTAATTTACCAGAAAATTTGTTAAATTCATAAAATAAATCTTAAATAAAAATATATTTCCATTAATATAGCGAAATGCTGAAGTTATATCTAAAGGAATTCCCAAAAACTGCTTCTTGATAAGACCTCGATTAATGGTTTTTAAACTGCATTCATTAAACTCGTTAACATACCAATCATCAATACAAAATAAATGTTCTACCCATGTTTGAGTTAAAAATAGCATTTATAATACTATTTTTTGGGATATCGACATTGCCTATTGATTTATAAATGCTTCATATACAAGACTGGGAAAATAATATGTGTTAAATGATGAATTATTTATTAATATCATATGACCATTAGGTTTTTGATATATATGCGAAAAATCGCTGTAGCCACCCAAATATTCACTAATTTTCCTAGGTCTTTTAAGATTTATACCGGAGGCTTTTCCTATTTTTAAAATCCACACTAAGCCGTTGTGAAAAATATACATATAAATGATTAATATTGATTACTAGCATTTGTTGTGGATATTCAATTTGACATAAATCCATTATATTTTATGTAGGTTGCAGGTTTTGTTCTAATTTTTTAGATTTCTTTGTTGTTACTTGTTCTGTTGTTGTTGTCGAGGGTTTTCCATATAAATATTGTATACCCATTATATCATATTTGCTTAAAGCCATGGAATTTGATAAATAGTATGCATGCACAACAGAATTATAATTGTTTGAATGTTCCAACCCTAAACTATGTCCAATTTCATCAAGAAAAACGGCAAATAAACTTACTTTTTTTATCATCTTTAGGTATGTCTAATCCAAAATACCAATTTTTGCTTTTATCAAGATGAATTTCCTAACAGTAATTATGATTTGGAAAAGTTGCCTGACCTAGTACATTGTCAGATCCATCAAATTTAAATGGACACATACCTCTTTTACATCGAGTTGAATATTTATGTTCAAAGGATTCAAACGATATTATTATATCAGGATTTTTTACCGAATAAATAAACTTTAAGTTTGCAACTTTTTGCCAGTCATCGAAAGTGTAAGCCGAAATTTTTTTTGTATGTTCATTATAAGGTTAAATATACCAATGAATTATGTTTTATCCCATCTGCTTTTTAATTTAAAAGCCCCATCGTCTGATAGAGAACATCGAGGTTTTTTTATAAACTGTTCTTCGGTTATTTCTCCAGTTACATTTAAATTATAATATTTCTGAAATTGTACTAAACCTTCCTCTAAATTTACAACTGAATTATTTAACTTTTGTGATAACCAAAATCTTGAAGATATTTTATTACAACTTTTTTATTGCTAAAATAATAGAGGGTAAAAATAGCAATGTAATTAATAAATCCATAACCTCTCAATATAACTGATTATAAACTAAAAAAATAATTCCTATTTGTAATGCTGCTGCAAAAAAATTTGAAGCTATCTTATTTATTCTTTTTTAATATTTTTCTAGTAATAGCTCTTCGTTTTTTAGATTTGATAAAATTTACATTTTTTCCTATTTTCTAATGCTAGCTGACAGGTTTGGTCCCACCAAAGAGCTCTAAATTTGTTAGTTGGTTTTGGTCGTGTAAACTCAGAGATGGTTAATTCTGATACCATTATTATAGAATACATAAAAATCATGACCTGTTTTCGATATCGATACGAGCTCTATAACCAAACTTTAATAAAATTAGCATTATGCTAAAAAAAATTCTGTCAAAATTTGAGCTCTTAATATTAATTTTAAAAGGTCCATCATCGAATTTAAAGTTTTCTCATTAAATTAACATGCAAAAGTAGTTTTTTAAGATTTATTTCGTCTGCATGCTATGTAGAACTTTTTAACAATCCCTGGTACTTTTTAAGCATTAATTTATCTAAAAAATCTTACAGAGTCCAGGCGGTAGTCCAGTCGAGTCCGGTAGCAGCGAAGATGAAACCGTTAAATTCCAAGAGGTCGTGCAAGAAGAACCTTGTCCATCACAACAAAGAAAATATATTTATGGAGAACGTAACATTATTACTTCAAAAATAGTAGCTGCATTTGATGCCTGCAAAATTAGCGACCGATAAGAAGTCCATATTTTGGTAGCCGTAGCAGAAGCGTTAGGACATGACGCTGCATATAATATGCATATTATGCCCATAAGCAAATCCACATTACGCCGATCCAGGCAAGAAATGCGTAAAGAGATTTCTTTAAATAAAAAAAAAAATTTTGAAGTTATAAGTTGTTGGCACCAGTAGTCCATTGGGATGGAAAGCTTTTCCCCTTCCGAACTGAAGCAGAAAAGGTCGATAGGCTTGCTGTATTGGTTACCAGGGGAGATATTGAGCAATTTCTTGCAGTTCCCGCTTTGCCAAATTCAACAGGAAAAGAACAAGCCGCTGCCATGTACGACGTGCTTTTAAAGAGGAATTTGGAATGTAAGGTAATAGCGTTCTGTTGTGACACTACAATATGGGATATTTAAATGGGGCGGCCACAATTTTGCAACAAATTTTAGAACGTGATATTTTGTATTTTCCACGTAGGCACCATATATTTGAAGTTCTTTTGAAAAGTGTGTTTGATATAAAAATGCCTTCTTCATCTGGTCCAAATGTCCTTATTTAAACGTTTTTAAGAATTTTGGCCTAAAATAAATCAAAATAAAGTAAAGACTGGATTACAGGTAGAAATTTTATAAATTTATGTTTAACAATTCAACAACCCCGCGATGATTATAAAGAGTTTTTATTGCTTTCTAAACTTTTTATTGAAGAACAATCCACTAACGTGATCTAAGGCGATTTACTGTCTGGAAATATGTTTTTTTCAAAATCAATTTAAATTAACACAAAAAGAAAAGACAGGTATTGCAGATATATGCCTTTTTATTGTAAAAGTGTATGTAAAAGCTTGGTTTAAAGCGTCATATGCGAACAAAGCAGCATTACTTGATTTACAACTTTGTAAAGATCTGGATGAATATAAAAATATTGACAAAGAAATATCTCAAGTAGTAAGCAAAATAGTATACCATTTGTGGTATTTAAATCCACTCAATGTTTCGTTATCTTTTTTTGATGACGAAATTTCAATTCTTACAAAGCGGTCTATGGTTGAAGCTTTAAGGAAAATAAAACCAAATGAAGAACGCATTAAACGGTTAATGATAAAAGATATTAAACAAAAGGAAATTGAGAACTTTATATGCGATAGAAGTAAAGAATTTTTTGATAAGTTAAGCTTGCCTACAGACTTTTTGGAAACTGATTCAACAGATTGGAACGAAAATTCTTATAAACAATGTTTGGATATCGTTAATAAAATTAAAGTAGTAAATGATTAGTAGTTGAACGAGGCATAAAGCTTTTCGGTGAATATGAACAAAAACATTTTTTGCTCCAAATGTAAAAAAGGAAACCATGTTACAAGATTTTAAGTAATTAATTGAATATTTTTTATAATTTATAATTAATAATAATTAACATAGTTTTAGAAATATCGTTTTTTTAACCTAAATAAAACTTTCACTTTTACTATTTTAATCTGTTTTTTTATTTTCATGGATTTTTATCTCCGCTGCGAGATTATATTGCCATATTTTTTCACAAATCCACATCTTAAAATATGGGTGGAGGATTAAAATTTGTGGTCCTTATTTAAAAAAAAATGTTATGCCCTCAGGGGCTTATAGGGTTCAAAATAAATAAAAAAAATATGTCCTCCAAGTTTTGGATGTTTTGGGAAGTTTTGGGTTTTTCGGCATTGAATAATTAATTTTTCAATCCGGTCAAAGTTTTTAAAAAAATTTGAAACTTAATTTAACCTTATAATAGTAGCTTTTCATACATTTTTACAGATTTTCAGCTATTGCACTAATTATGTTCAAATAAAGGATTTTTTCTACTCCTATTACGGAATTTGACCATTCTAATATCACTTTTATCTATGGAATGACATATATTCCGTAAAGTGTTACAGAATGAAATATTCTATCATCTGATGATAGAATGAACACATACTTCCACACATATACAAATCATTTCTAACTGAGACTGTTTCCATTTCGTGGGGGTAAAGTAGGGGAAATGTTCTCACAGGGTGGCGGGCATTGAGGCGCATGCGTCAGCTGCATTGCCGGTTTTAAAAAAAATAACATATTTTTGTTCCTATTTAAGAAGTATAATAAATACTTTTTAATAAATTGGATATAAATTGTATGAAAAAAGCATTTAACAATAATAAACTCACAAAATGATGATATTTTAGATTTTATAATGGCATTTTTATAAAAGCAAAAATTTGGCAACATCGTATTTTGATCACGATTATCGTATCATAGCCAAAAGATTTTTATGGTAGACATATAAATATGTAGATGGTTATTATAATTATCAATTTTGTTTGTTTGGTTGTTTTCAATTGTTTTGGCATTGTTTTTTTCCATTGTTTTAACGAGATTTTAGTGAATTTTACATAATATGCATATTATGCCACTTTTTGCTTTTTATAAAGCCAAATCACAAAAATGTTTTTAAGCTTAACCCAGGCTATGGAACCAAATAATTTAGAAAAATTTTATATAACCTAAATTTTGGAAGGATATCAGCTATGTGTTTTATTCTACAAAGTTTTGTTGAGCTATTTCCATCGTTTGGAAGGTTCAATTTTGAAGATTAAAAACCTCTTAGACCAAGGGGTTTTAAGTCACTGTTTTAAGTACAAGTTTGCTGGTCTTGAATACGGGTTTTTTATGTTGGAGTTTTTTTGTAAGATTTTTATGTCAGATTTGTTGTGAAGGAATGGTTTGTTTTGGATAATGGCAAGTTCTTACGTTACTGAAAAGCCATCCTGTAAAATTTGACATAGTAGGAGACTTCAACATCGGAAGCCAACCCATTTGGAGACACAATCTACCAGGGCCCCAACTACGTTCAGGTGATTGTGTCTGACTTACTTAGACTTTACCAACTGGCCCAAATAAGACACTGGCGCCCAATTTTGGATTTAATTTAGTAAACACACCTAAGTATTGAGAAACAACATTTGCCCATCGACCTCAATTTTCAAATAATTTAGAAACCGAAAAAAAACAATCTAAAAAAAAAATTTTGTACGAAATTTTTTGGGGACCCCATTTTGCCCCACCGCTGCATTGTTTTGCCCCATTTCACCTCCCGTCTGCCAATTGTACCATAAAATTAAAAAAATCAGAAAATTTGATGTTAATTAAACTTTGACCTCGAATAACTCTGGAAGAAATCAATTTATCGAAAAATAATAGGAGACCTTTTTTGTAGAGCGTTACATTTTATATAAGAAACTGTAATGATCATTGTCATAAGTTAGGTACTTTGATACAGAGGTATAAAATTCCAAACATTAAATTATTTTTTCCCATGTTAATTAAATGGGAAACTAAAATAAAAACAGCGACCTCTTAGAGTTGAGCTGGAACGCCCATATTTGGTGAGGATTGTTTTTATATTAAATAGAAACATTTGAGAGGGTAAGAGCGAAAAAAAAATTAAATTTTATTTTTTGAAGCATCGTATATACAGGGTGAGTCATAAGTGGTGAACTTCCCGAAAGGTGCATGTAGGGGGGCCTTAATATAGGTAGGGAAAAATGTTAAAAAAATTCCAAATGAAAAAGTGACCGAGGAATTCAGGTCTTAAGTTTTAAATTTAACTTTTTTATTATTTAATATTTTTCCACCTTATATGATTTTTACTGAAGAGTTTCGGGTTCTTAAATATTTCCTGGCAAAAAAATTGCCCGAAAAAGTGTATTTTCTTTTAATTTTAATGATTTAGAATGATTTTTTAACAATTGAAATGATCTGGCAACTTTGTAATCAACAATACGAAAATTGACATTGACGTTTATATTTTTTGGTGCTTTCTGGTTATTATTTTGTCGAGACTATTTGTAATCAACAATGCGAAAATTAAGTTTGACGTTTATATTTTATTTTTTTGGTTATTATTTTGTCGAGTCTATTTAATAAAATGTACACTAATCAAGAATATGTGAATATGATGCTGGTACTTGGATTCTGTGAAGAAAATTGCAATGAAGAAGCCCGGGTATACGCAGCAAGATTCGCTGACATAACCCACCCATCGCCGGGAGTTTTTAGAAGGATGATGGTCAGAGCTAGAGAGACTGGATCTCTAATTCCCACGGCAGGTCCTGACCTTGGTCGGCCTCTAGAGATTGTACCCGAAGCCGATGAGTTAATCATCCAGCTGATTCAAGAAGATCCAACAAGAAGTACCAGAGGGATTGCTCAGGAGCTAGGCATGTCCCAGACATCTATAACCAGGCGATTAAAGAAGGAGAAGTTCCATCCATACCACTACACTAAAGTTCAGGCTCTAAACAACAACGATTTCGGTTTGCGTTATTGGGAAATATTAATGAGGATGATGATTTTTTAACTCGTATTTTATGGCAAATTTTAGTAGGGATGGGTATTTTAATAGTAGAAACTGCCATTATTATAACCAAGAAAATCCATATATAAAATGGGAATTTAATCATCAAAATCGCTTCAGTGTAAATGTTTGGGTTGGGATAATTAAAAATTGGGTTATTGGGTCTATCATATTACCGCGGCGGTTGAATAGGGATCAATTTTTAAATATTTTGGAGAACGAAATTTCTAATGAAATTAACAATTTACCCTTGGCCACATTGCGCAACATGTGGATACAACTGGATGGTGCCCCACCTCATTTTGCCGCTCCTGTTAGAAATTGGCTAAATGAACAGTATCCTAACAGGTGGATAGGTCGTAACGGCCCAGTTTCTTGGCTCCCTAGGTATGGAGTCATGTTAAAGCATTGGTGTACCAAACACCGGTACATAATGAGGAACTAATACTGCGTATTCGAAATGCTTTAACAACTGTGACCCCAGAAATGTTGACCCAAGTACAAGTTAGTACAAGAAAAAGACTGGAATTGTGTTTGCAAAATCAGGGGCATCAATTCGAGCAATTTTTGTAATGTTTGTTCATGCTTCTTTATGTTATTTTTTTCATAAATTTTTATTTTGTTTGATTTTGGTTTTAATTATTATTTAAGTATTATAAACACAACAACTGTCTCATTGTTGTCTTTTATTATGACAGTAATGACAACAATATAAGCACGTAACAATTCAAATAAGTTCCTTAGTTACTTCAATTAAAATGAAATCTAATAATTTCCTGTAACATTGTTAGTGTTTACACGTTGCCAAAATTCTCTTTTGAGTTCTTGGCCATAACTCGAGTACCAAAGCAGATAGATTTTTTTAAACATTTTTCCCTACATATATTAAGGCCCCCCTACATGCACCTTTCGGGAAGTTCACCACTTATGACTCACCCTGTATATATATGTCGGCGCCTTTATTAATTATTGGTGTAGGCTCATGATTCTTTCTCACCCTTTTGTTTATTTTTGTTGATAAGATTTGTGTGACGATATTTAGGCTTAACAAAAAGTCCCAAGCATGTGGAGAATGTCATTTTCCTCGTATTGGGTGTTTATGATTAAGTCTAACACTAATACGATACGTTTATTTTACTTGATATAATTTATGTGAATTTGTCTAGACAAAATAGTTGTAGTTTTTAAAAGGTAGAAAATGTGTTAAGGGTACGCCCCCTAGTTTTTTATGGAAACCGCCAAGATAAGCTTGCGAACGAAACGAGCCCGGACAGAGTGTTCTTGATTCTTCTTATGACAAGTTGAATCTCTGAATTGATTTTTGATTGACTATTGTTGAACTATCGGGTCGCGGATAGTTGGTTTCCTTTTTATAGCTAATAATTAGTTTGGGACGATTATTATTAATTTTGTGTTCTGTGCAGATTAATCTGACTACGTGTTTTAGTAAATAACTTTATATTAAAAACCAGTGTCGTGCATTCTTTTAAAATGTCTAGGCAGCCTAACCCTCAGTTGCCCTCGTTAATCTCTGACATATATATATATGAGGCATTCCATGTCAACTCGGCCACCCCCTCCTGTGCAAAATTGACTAAAGTTTTTCGAAACGTGCAACTGATAAATTTTTAGCTTATCGTCTTAACTTTCAAATGCCGAGTGGTATTTTGTAAAATTTCAAAATGGCGGTGTCAATATACTGCAAGCAATAGACATCACTTTAAAAAATCCGTAATACGTAGTTTACATTAACTAACAACTTTATAAAATTAAAAATTGAATTTTATTTAATGCACTGATCTATTATCAGTGATTCTATGTATTTTTTACCGATGATTACACAATGGTTCGCCTCTAACCTAAAAAAAAACTTAAAAAGCAGTTTCTCGTAATTTACACCCGCTTA